GAACCGCGGTCGACTACGTGGGAGTCCAGCGACATAGCCATTACGCTAACTGCTGGTTCCCTTTTTTGTTTTGTTTTGTTTTTGTTTTTTTTGAGAGATTGAGGGAGGTTTTGATTTCCTGTATTGTAGCCTTCATTTCTAAGAGCTCCATTTGATTCTTTTTTATGGTGTGTATTTCATCTTTCAGATCCTGCAAGAACTTCAACACCTCCTGGAACTTGCTGTCCCTTTTCTCCTCCATCTTCTGGAGTTCATTGTCTCTCAGCTCTTGCATCTTGTTTAGTTTTGTCACTATGAATATTCTGAAATCTCTATTGGCCATTTCCACAAGTTCTACTGTACTGTCTGAGGGTGGTGAAGGGTTGTTCTTTTCCTTTAGGGGAGAGATATTTTCTTGGTTTCTCATATTTCTTGTGCCTCTGCAGTGGTTTCTGGTCATTCTGTGAAAAAATCTCATCTCTACTGTGCTTTGCAATGTGGTGTCCACAGAGAGAGATTTTGAGTTCAGATTTACAAAAAGTTTCTTCCTTAAAGCAGGAGGTTCAATAAGCCTTGAGGATTTCAATGACTCTAAAAGTATTCAGATGCTTGGCTATTGTGCACCTAGGCCTATCTTATCTGAATATTTCGGGAGTCTAGAAGATGGAGTTTAGACCATAGCTTCCCACAGCATATGGGTTCTTCATTGCATCTTAATTTTGCTTCAGAACCTGTAACTCCTCAGAGACAAGGAAATACTCCTTTTAATGTTACTCACAGCAGTAATTGGAGGAAGCAGTAGGGAAGGGGGATTTTTCCAGTGATGATGGGACAACAAAAACAAGGGGTTGCAGAGGGCTTGTATATGAGGGAAAGTATATGCCAAAGCAAAAACGAGCTGAGTCCTTAACCATGAAAATGGAAAAAAAATGAGAGCAACACATTTGCTTTACCCGTTTTCTTTACCTCAGACTGATAATCACAGAAGAAAAGCCTTTCTATTTAATTCCTATGCCAGCTATTAATGACAACTTGACAAGGATAACGTTTATTGCCCTTTTATAAAGGCAAGTATTCATAGCTTCTGAATGTAACTTTCCAGGCTTTAGGTATAATGGGTGAAGTGTTGCTTTGTAAAGTCATAAAATTCTCAAAGTAAGATTCCCAGCAGGATAGCGGATTTAAAACATGGCTTCAGCACACACAGGCCTTGTGGCATAGCTAAAGGCCAAAATAGCTCATCTGACATGATTAGAGAATAATGCAAGAAGTAGCCAGAGGAGGACTTTGCAACTTGCACTAGGCCTTAAACAATGGATGTCCACTTTCCACCTCCCCAACCACCGAGTCACAGGCTAGCCTGCCGTAGTGTATTTTGAGCTGTTTCCCAAATGTATTCAGTTAGAAGAATCACCTGGGATCTTTGTCAAAAATACGGACAAATCCTTTTCTGGATGTAGGAAACCATGTGTGTGTACATACATAATTTCTTTTTAAAAAAATTTTGCCAGGAATAAAGCACGCTTGCCAGAGAGAAAGTAAAAAGGCATCCCCTGTGGATAACGGCCGTATCACAGTCCCTTCCTCTCCATTCTGAATGATTTGGGGCACACACAAATGTACCAGTGTTTTTTGAGCTGCCAGGTCTGGACTCAAACCTCTCAGTAAGCTGTCTAGGATCCAACTGCTTTAACCACATGCCACCGGCTGGCCCAGGAAACTTTTTAACGAGCACTCCAGATGATTCATGCCCTTAGCCAGATTTAAGAATCAGTTGACTCAGAGCCAGCAGGTGGGTTGGAGGTTAAGATGCTGGGTCTACATGACTGACTTCACAGTTTAAGTCCTGGACCTGGTGACTTGAATATCATGCTGCCATGCATGTCCAAGATCCCAAGAGGAGGGTGGAGGACAAGGATTGTGGGGTGGCTATCTGCCCTGGGGGTTGATTTCTCACCCTCTTTCTGTCTCTGGTGAGTGCATGCACCTATTCTGTAGCAAAAAAATTTAAAAAATAATAACGATCACTTGACTTCAGCTAAATCTGTGAGCCTTAATGTTGACATTGTCTTTTTTTTTTTTTTAAGTTTATTTCTTTATGAAAGTAAAGGACAGACAGACAATTACACTCAGCATCATCCTATGCCATGAGTCCTTCCCCTACAGCCATCTTGACGAGCCAGGATCATGGGCACCTGCACCTAGTATTTAGAGGTCCTTAGGCAACTGCGAGCCCTCTGTTCTCCATACAGAGTCCACATCGCTTAAGCAGCGCATTGCCCCGTACCACTGAGCTGGCCCACAAGTCGTCGTAACTTTCATGTGTTATGTAGCATTTCCTGTGTAGGTAATAGATACTACTCTGTCACACAGCAGCGGAAGTCTGTGGGAAGTTTATTGATGTTGGCAAATTGTCCTAATAGTTGAGTAAAAAGCTTACCTTTTAGGGGCTAGGTAGTGGCACAATGGTACTACATCTGGACCACATGGAAAAGTTCCTGGGTTCATGTCCTGGGACCTCCTTGGGCATTACAGCTGAGATTGAGTTTGATGGTGGCAGGAAGGCCCTGTTGGGGGTACATGCGTCCTATAGCAAATTTTAAAAGTTTACAATCTAGATAGGCAAGGCAGAAACACGTGAAACGTTAAATGAGTGTATCAGATACTACCACACAGTGTCAGAGCACAGAAATGGTACAGAAGTAAAACTGAGGTTTCTAGTAGAGAGATCGTTGATAATCTGTAAACCTGGGAACAGATACAATTACCTTCTTCTCACAGATAAAAATGTCTTACTGACACCCATTCTGGCATCTTCTAAGAAAGGCACGAGTGTGTCTATCTGCTTTCCTTTACTTGCCCTTCAGAACATTCCACTGTGACCTCTCTAGTTCGTGTGCACACCGCCATTCTTAAATGTTGTTTCTCACGAGAGTCTTTAGTTTTCTTGAGGGTATTTTCTCAGAGTCCTGTGCCAGATAATCAGGACAGCTGACTGGGCACAGGAGAGACCATTCTCAGATCAGAGTCAAACTCTCAGGAGACTTCTGCTTCCTGGGTACTGGAAGATGGGAAGTTGCTAGGGACCAGAGGAATTTGTTTGCCCCTCCCTACCTCAGCGTTCCCCTTCCTCCTTCCCTCTATCACTGTCCCCTTCTCCCACTCTTGTAAGTAAACAGTGAGGTCAGCCTGCCCAAATTTTGCACAGGGCACACATGCTGGCAACATGAATTTCATACCCCGTCTTTAACGCTCTTACCCACGGAGAGGCACAAGCCCACAGCTTTGTGCATTTCTTGGGGTTCTCTTTGCATGTGCCCCTTTGCATCGACCTCTCTTCTTAGCTCTGTTCTTTAAGATTGAAGTTGCTCGTGCTTCAAGACTAGGCAGTAGTGGGCAGACCTACCTGTTTGGAACTCCAGAGGTGTAGGGCCTTCCCTCCTAAAGTGTTTGCTCCTTTTCACCCTTCCCCTCTCCTGCCCCTGTTTCACCAGTTGTTGAGACTGTTTCAGAAACCACCTTCTTAACCTGTCAAGCCTCCCCTGAACTCTGCCTGTATGCACGTCACGTTATTCCTACTTTTGCTTCTCTGTCTTACCATAGACCCACAGGAAAGTTGGTTTCCTACTCCTTGGACTTGACCTGGTCACAGACTTCTGCCCGACTGCCCATCTCTCTGGAAAACAAGGTTCTAAATACGAGCTCCCATCTCGTTTTCCCCTTACAAGTCCCATTCATGAATTTATAGAGCACATTTCATGGTATCTGTAATCCTTGTTTTACCCTGTCATATTCAACAATTCTAAGTTTATACAGTCACATTTTAATCAGACCTCTGCTATCTTGGGGATTGGGCCTCTGCCTGGCTTACTTTGGGGGGAATGTGCACTGAATAGCACATTTCAAAAAATTTAATGGAAACTGTTATGCTACACTATGCAAATACGAGTCAGCCAGGCTGCTGGAAGGCCTTGCCAGAGGTCAAGTTTAAACCTGCTGTCAAACTCTGCTGTGTCTGACCCTGAGACAGTTTTCATAGCAGGTGGCAGCACCAATGTGCTGCAGCTCTTGCAAAGGCCTTTCCTGCTTTTCACTCCTGTGTTTCTTCCTGGTTAAAACTTGACAGTACAATTCTTACCAAAATACTGGTCCAGAAAGATGTCTGGTCGATGTTCATTTATTAAACCTGCTTTCTTTACTTTCATTTCAGATTTGTCCAATATGTGCAGCGTTACCTGGAGGCGACCCTAATCATGTCACGGATGACTTTGCAGCTCACCTTACACTTGAACACAGAGCCCCTAGAGATTTAATATCCTTTTAAGAGGCAAAAAGGGAAGGAGGTGCTTACAACGTTTGTCATTTTGATTATTTTTAAGGCTAATACTCCCAAAGAGGAAAAAACAAATCCCCAATTTTTATTTATTTGATCCTTTCCTAAAATTGAGTTGGTGTTGAAATACAATTTCTCGCTTCCTTTTTTATTATGTTCATTAAGTGAAATTGACTTGCCCATCATCTTTTGTTCATTTTAATCAGATTTTTTAAAAGGCAGTTTGACCAGGTTATAAGTCTTCCACAAGGGTATTTTCATACAGAAGAGAAAAATGTTAATCCAGTGAAAATTTAATTTAAAGTGGCTTTTTTTTTTTTTTTTTTGCTTTCTCTCTCGTGTCTCCTAGCCTTACTCTGTTGTGGGTGTGATGTGTTGGGGTGGCGAGGCCAGATATACATCATGGGGTGTCTTTTTCCCTTTTTCTAGAAAGAGCCATTTCCTGCCCAGTCTTTGAGCAGAATACCATAAGGTCAGGTCTTATTCCAGATTCCTTTTCTGCTTTCATTTCTACATCCCCATCCTATCTCTCAGCAGTTCCTGGCAAAGTTCTCTGAGATTACCTGAACAATTGATTTCGTAAACTCAAGGCTCCTGGTTTCAGAGTATGAATTGTTCTTCTAAAACAATGACCTATTAACCCTGGGCTCTGTCCCCTTGTTTGCTGCAACTTGAAGCAGTTCAGGAGCGTATTGGAACTTTTCTCTCTGCCAGACTTTGTTCTGAATCCCTTGAATAACTACTGACACTCATGATCCAACCTCAGGCCTGTTTAGGGGAAATTGGTGGTTTTCTGGTTCTGCAGCTTCTGTTCGTTACTCATAGTTCTGATGTTCTGGCTGAGGAGATGTGGCCCTGTACATGTAAGGCAGGTACACGGGGACTAGCGGGAAGACAGAGGTAGAACCAACAGAGATGAGTGTCAGCCCCACTCGAGCCTGAACCCAAACCTGAGCCAGTCTCGGGCTGTACTGAGTCAGCAGAGGAACCTGCTTCCTGTTCGTGCACACGGAGGCCCTGAGAGTAACGTGGAAAAGGCAGTGATTTTTTTTTTTTTTTTTTTTTTTTTTGAGAATAAGAAAATCTAGATGGGCCAAGAACACTTAAGTCTTGAGTCACTGTGTTCTTTGTACACAAGAAATCTTTACAGGACCCAGAAAGATGATGGTGGTGGTGGTTTTCGACTTTCAGGCACATGCCTGCCAGTGAGAAGTGGGTGAGGAAGTGAGAAATGTCCCCCAGGGGGATAGTCACGCTGTAGCCTCTTCCCTGGTCTCCTCTCAGGATTTTGGGCACGTACCTGTGCACACACACACCTGGCATGTTTCTCAAGCTGCTGGGTCTGGGATTCGAACCATACAGTTTGCCAAGAGGGATCCAGCCACCTTAACCGCCATGCCACCAGCAGGAAGAGCTGTTCTTAACTTATGTTTTACTCAAATTAGGGAAATAATTTAAAACCAGGTGGACATTCTGAATTTCTCCAGAAAATTCAGTCTCCGGTGATGCCAGTATCCGTCCATTCAGTAGAATAGTCCATCTACTCTGCCTCTGTTTTCATGAGATTTTAAATATCTCTGGTTACCAAGCAAATAAGAATGCAAAAATAGAAGGATAAGAAAAAGCTTGTGTTGTTATTTTTATTTTGTAAGATTGTGTGAGTACTCAGAGAGAGTGAAGGGGGTTGGTAGCACCCTCCACAGGGTCTGGTTACGCTGCAGTTTGCTTCCTCCAGTCCTTCAGCTTGTCAAATTCTGGGCACTCATGTGCATGCCTGGCACGTTTAATAAATAAGGTCAAGTGGGCCGGGGTTCGTACCATAGTTACATGTGGGATCTGGCTTTTTCATTATCCTTGTACCATAGAGCCAGCCCTGTACATTTTAGATTACTTAGAATTAAGTTCTAGAAAACAAAATGTTACCATGACTGTTATCCTGAAAACATGCAGATTTTTTAGGTACTTAAACCAAGTAGTGACTTTGGGAACCAGCAGTTGGCATAATGGCTATGTCGCTGGACTCCCACGTAGTCCACCGCGGTTCGAGTCCCGACCCGGTGGCTTAGAACTCATGCGGGGCGCGTGTGCGTGCGTGCCCGAGATCCCGAGAGGATAAGCGTTCCTGAGACCCAGAGAGGATAACGAAGGAGAAGGGATTGCGGCATGCCCATCCCCCCTAGGGGGTGATTTCTCGCTTTCTGTCTATGTCTCTCTCTGTCTGTCTGGCAAGCGCATGCACCCTATAGCAAAAACCTCTCAAGAAAAAAACCAAGTAGTGACTTTAACATCAGGGAGTTCTTCCCTGTAAGCTTATTAAGCACCAGAACTTTTTCCCCTGCCATTTTTATTTTTATTTATTTTTTTTTTCCTGGAGTGCACTTCACACTCAACTGTTTTTTGTTTGTTTGTTTGTTTGTTTGTTTGTTTGTTTTAAGGTTTTTGCCATAGGGCTCATGCACTCACCAGAGTGAAACAGTGAGAGAGAAAGTGAGAAATCCCCCCCCCCCCCAGGGGAGCACACAACAATTTCTTCTCTTCCATTCACCTCTCAGGATTTGGGGCATGTACACACACATGCCTAGTGTGATATATATATATATATTTTTTTTTAGCAATGAGGTCTAGGACTCAGGCTGTGGTCAGCCATGTGAGAGTCTAGCACCGTAACCACCACATCACCTGCTACCCCCCACACGCAGCTGTTTTTTAGAAACAAAATACAATGATCATGAAATTTTAAAAAAGAATAAAAAGTTGAACCATTAAATAGAGTTGTAAGTTTAGGACCATCTGTATCTGGCTTTCCCACACCCACTTGCCTGGGTGGAAGCATGGTTTTCTTCAGGAGTTTGGACAGCTGCTTGCTGCTTGGCACTGTCTGCTTTGACTCACAGTCAGCTGTGTGCGACAGCGAGACTCCGGAGAGCTGGCTTCTCAGTACGTGTCACGTTGGTCTCTGTATTCACTTACACAATTCAGATCTGTTTTCTGCTTATCGGCAGCACTGGGAAGAGCTTAAAGACAAAATTAAAAACTAATAACCAAAAGGAATCCTTTATCTACTGGATTTCAATTTTCATACTATTTGCTTTTCATTATAGATCATTGAGATTTCATTAATTGTATATTAGTACAGCTCTCCCCAAATATAAAAATCAACCTATTAATTACAGTTGTTTGGATATAAACATTGTCTGAAATCAGTACTGAGGTCAGGTTTAGAGACCAGACGCCTTTGACCTTGTCTAGCAGTGTTTCTCCGGTAATCAGAGATGGAGCCAGGGAAGAAATTTCTCACCACTCAGAGGAAGTTTTTCTTACCTTACTCTTATACAATACACACACATTCTCACGGGTTGCTTTATATTGAATGTCTTTTTTTTAAGGTTAATAGCCCTCATAGATGGAGTTGGGACATTAGCATTCTAAATGAAATGCATTTTAAATTTTATTTTATTTATTCTTTTTATGAGAGAGGTAACCTTGACCATGGTCTCACCACACGGTGATCCTCCCCTTAGACTTCCAGCCAGCCAGGATCTCAGGTACGCCTGGCATATTCTGGTCAACCGGGGATCCACACTCAGGGCCCCCTGTGACTCTGTTACTGCTCAGTGGCGCTCTGCTGCTTGTGGCACAGGGGTTGGGCCTAAATGTGCTGTTTTTAAATGCTTAACAATTTATGAAATACATAGGTCTGTCTAACAAGGGCTCAAGTGATCTTTTTTTTTTTCCTGTGAAATACTTTGGTCTTTTTCTTAACTTTTGAGTTATGATGAATCTAGTGGTGTTCGACATGTACGTAGAATGTTTCACCCTGGCCGGGGATTAGGAGGTCCTCGTGCTCGTAGATCAAACATGCACTTTACTAGCAGTTCTACTGGTGGACTTTCTTCTTCTCAGAGTTCATATTCTCCAAGCAATAGGGAAGCCATGGATCCTATAGCTGGTAAGTTAGTCTCGCATTATAGAAATGACAGGGGTTTCTGGGGTTTGTTTGTAGTCTTGCATCTCTGATCCTATATCTATATTCTTTAACCAAATTCCCAAACATTTTACAAGCTTATTTGAAAGCAGTTAACGTAAAGCAATTTATATTGTTTCGTACTTAGGAGGATAATAAGAAATGTCATTATGTTATATTTGTGGACTCAGTTGAAGCCCAAGAAAATCACTAAAGATTTCAGAGTTGGCAGCTGTCCAGACTTCCATGGTTCGGCCCTGCACAAGTGGACAGAGTAATAGCTCATTGCTGAGACCAAAGACTTAAGTTTTTCTTGCAGAGGAGAGTGAAACAGGAATTTCTCTGTCCTTGTGTTGACTTGAGAACGATACTGTTGTGAAACATACTAAGACGTACATTTTGTAATCACTTGAAGAACCTTATTATAAAGCAACATTTAAACCTATAGTTCATTGATGTCACTGAGTCTGTAGTGCAGGACAAACCTGATCAGTTGGCTACAGAGCCCAAGGGTCCAAGTGAAATGTCAGAAATCATGTGGCTTGAGGATCCTCAAGAACATGAAGGAGACAGTGGTAAGACTCTGAGAAGTGTGTACAGGTTTAAAGCAGCACTTCTGGGGGCTAGCAGGAGGCATAGTGGTTAAGGGTGCGGGACTCCCACATGGCCAACTGTGGTTCAAGTCCTGGACCTGGCAGCTGACTTTCTCACTTTCTATCTCTCTCTCTCTTCCCCTTCTCTTCTCTCTTCTCTTCTCCTCTTCTCTCTCTCTCTCTTCCTACTCCCTCTTCCTTTCTCCCTCCCTCTCTGGTCAAATTAAAATAAATAAGTTAAATTAAATTAAATTAAATAATTCTTTAAAAAAATAAAAAAGGCAGCACTTCTGAAATGCACCCACATGGCAGAAGGTGTTTGCTGTGGTATACCCTGCAGACCACTTGAAACACAGACAGGTTCAGGTTCAGGTCTGTGGCAGAAGCTAGGAACAGGTTTCTGGGTTGAGCATCCTCCATCTGAAATTCAAAGTGCTTCAACATCTGAAACTTCTTGAGCACCAAAATGATATCACAACTGGAAAATTCCACACCTGACCTCTTGTGACAGGTTGCAGTCCAAACACAGCAATTCATAAACATCGTATGAAGTTCTCTGTAGACTTAAATGTACAAGGCTGAGATGAAACATAAATGAATTCTGTATTTATACTTGGGCCCTATTCCCAAAATATCTCATTATGTTTATGCAAATATTCCAAAATTTAAAAAAATCCAAACTTAAAAACACTTTACCCAAACATTTCAGATAAGAATGACTCCACCTATACTCAGACGTTCTTTAAAACAAAAGATGTACAGCGTAAAATTATGTTATAGTTCCAAATGTACTTTGGAGATTTGGGTGTGTAGCAACCAAAATAAGCCCAACAGACCCAGCCTGGTTAATACTGCAGCTTGGCAGGCTGAGGCCACATGAGAGGCCCAGGTTCACTTCCAGCCCACCCTAACAGAGCCTCTGTAGTGGTGAGCATCTGTAGTCCCAACTACTCTGGAGCCTAAAGTGAGAGGATTATGAGCTCATGGCCAGAGTGGACAGCACAGGCACAGTGGGGCGTCTCTGAAAGAGCAGGGTGTGACAGCACACACCCTTATCCTCCGGCACTAGTGGGACCGAGACAGAATGGTCATATGTAGTAAGAGCCTATGTTTTGTTTGTTTGATTGATTTTTTTAAATAGCTGTTTATTTAATTCCGCTTGTTACCATTTTTTAATTTGACCAGAGAGAGAGAGAAAAGGAACGCAAGAAAGCCAGCCACCAGGTCGGGGACTCAAACTGTAGTCGACCTTGTGGGAATCCAGCGCCTTTAACCACCACGCCACCTGCCAGCCTGAGCCTGTGTTTTTTACACTTGATTTTAGCACAAGGCTAAGAAGTATAGATCCTATTGTTTTTCTTTTTCTTTTTCTCTTTTTAAGTCTGACAAACTTAGTTTTGAAATTAAAAAAAAATATTTTCTCATCCAGAGGAAATATTCACCTGCTGTCTTTGATAAAAGTATATGCAATTTCTGGGAGCAGAATTCAAAATTGAGAAATTCCATGACTTTTTTTTTTTTAATGTTAGTGAAAATTGTTTATTTAACGATGGATTATGTATTTCACTGCATAAAAGAGTGGTGTAAAAACCCCTGGGATGAAGCAGCAGTGAACAGGAAAACAGGAATTTACCTTGCTGGAGAGTTAAGGATGAGGTGCGGGACCAGCAGTTAGCGTAATGGCTATGTTGCTGGACTTCCATGTAGCCAACCTTGGTTTGAGTCCTGAACCCGGTGGCTTAAACTCACGCCGGGCACATGTGCGTGCGTGCGTGCCCAAGATCCTGAGAGGAGAATGGAGGAGAAGGGATTGCAGCATGGCCATCCCCCGTGAGGGGTGATTTCTCGCTTTCTGTCTCCCCGTGTCTCTGTCTTTCTGGCAAGCGCACGCACCTTATAGCAAAAATCTCTCCCAAAAAAAAAAAGGGGATGAGGGGCCGGCAAGTGGCATGGTGGTTAAGAGCGCTGGACTCCCACATGGCCGACCACGGTTTCGAGTCTTGGATCTGTTGGCTTGCTTTCTCACTTCCCCCCTCTCTCTCTGTCTCTCTCTGATCAAACTGGAAAATGATAATAATAAAGTTAAAAAAAAAAAAAAGAAAAGGATGAGGCTCATTCATTTCCTGGCCTGGGGACTTCTCCAAAGCAGTTGCCAGTTCCCCGTAAGCTCGGTAGGTAGAGGAGGTGGGAGGAAAAGCGGTACTTTACTCAGATGGAAGTGCAGGGACAGAGACCCACATTGCCCGCGAGGAATAGAACCTGTTGACACAAGAGTCCGGACCCCTCCCAGCCTCGCCTGCACATCCTTAGCAGTACTCACTGCAGTGGGGTCCCGGGACCCTGAGGCAGCAGCGCCAGAGAGGGTGAGAGAGAGAAGGCAGAGATGAGCATGCAGGGGTCACAGAAGTAAATGTCCCGGGCTTCCCGAATGCATTCATTCAATAAATGTATGAGTTCTGACTCTGAGTTAGGCCCTGCTCCGATTGCTGGGAATATAGGAAACAGTAAATACGATCCAGTCTTTCATGGGACTCGTGTTAAAAGGCCTTGTATTATGGTTGGACCTATAGATGAACCACTTTAATCTGTTAAGTACTACAAGAAAGTATAACTAAATCCATTGTGCAAATAATTGTTTAAGAAATCTCTGTTAAGTTCTGCTTAAAACAAAAATATTGTGTGGGAGTTAATAGTCACATGTTTGCTTTCCCTATTCACGGTAGCTCCTGCGCCCAGGAGTCACCCTAAAAGATACCGGGCTTCTAGTTGGAACTGTACGTTGCCACTGTGCTTTTTAAAGTTTATTTATTTCATGACAGAAACAGAGTCTTGTCACATCCCAATACACACACACACACACACACACACACACACACACGATCCAGCCGGCCAGGATCATGTGTGCGCCCAGCAGCCCAGCATGTTCCAGCTGACCCAGGATCTGAACTCTGGGCCTCACAGTGCCTTTTGGTGTCCCTGTCGTAGAAAAGCCATCTGTAGCACTTTGTTTCCCTCAGCATTTCAGTGGACATTAATGGTCTTCATTTCCATTGGCAGAGCTTTTATCTCAGTTGTCAGGAGTGAGACGTTCTGCAGGAGGACAGCTTAATTCTTCTGGCCCTTCCGCTTCTCAGTTACAACAACTGCAGATGCAGCTGCAGCTGGAACGGCAGCATGCTCAGGCAGCACGGCAGCAACTGGAGACCGCACGCAACGCGACCCGGCGCACTAACACGAGCAGCGTCACCACCACGATCACACAGTCCACCGCGACAACCAACACAGCTAATACAGAAAGCAGCCAGCAAGCTCTCCAGAATTCCCAGTTTCTCTTAACAAGGTAGCTCGCTTCCATTTTGTTTGAGAAGTAGTGTTTCTTAGCACTTTGCAGTTTGAAATGAACATTTTTCTTTTGTGTATATACATGCACTTTAAAACTCCACCATTGAATCAGACCATTAAAACTCAGAGCTCTCTGATCAGAACTCTGTAGTCAGTATTTCCCCAACAATATGAAAAATAATTATTTTAGATAAAATTAAAGTGCTGGTCTTCTTAAATAAATAGTCTAATAAGAATTTATTTTCCCATAAAACTTAAACTCATACTAGACTTATTATCATAATTAACATTGCTTTCTTTTTATTGCCAGTTTCTATCTACTGTTTAACAGTAAATGTGCAAAAGAAGATGTCACTATACAGTAGTGGTTTTCTCTTGTGAATTTCTTAAGAAGCTAGACTTAAATTCTTATGGTTAGCACAAAAAGGTAACTTTAAAAAAGTAGTTTACTGGGACCAGCAGGTGGCGTGGTGGTTACGGCGCTGGACACTCCCACATGGCTGACCGTGGTTTGAGTCCCAGACCTGGTGGCTTGCTTTCTCACTTTCTCTTTCTCTCTGTGTTTCTCTCTGATCAAATTAAAATAAATGAATGAATAAATAAAAATTAAATAAAAAAAATTTTTTTAAGTGGTTTACCATGGTGTGAGTAATATTTGGTACACAGTGAACCACCCGACTGGGTCAAATCGAGTTCTTATCTGCTGTTAGTTACTGAATGAGTTCCTCTGCCAGATTTACTCATAGGCATTTTATGTAACTAAAGAAAATAAAAAGCAATGGTGAGTAGAGACTGAGGCTCAACAGATAATGAACCTGAATTAATTCTGGCTTTTAATGGAACCGAAAGGAATATAAATTATAAATCATAAAATGAAGAAGAAAGTTAGTTAAAACGTTCAGTCTCTCCAGAACACAGTGTGTGTGACAATTCATTGGGATGTTGCAAGAACATACTGTAATTTTTATTTATAGTTCTTTTATCTCATACATTTAAATATCTCTTTTAATACAGTGCTATGTGTGTATAATTGTAAATAACGTATTGTGGGAACAGAATAAAAACCATTTGAGGACCGTTGGTCTAGAACACAGCTCTGTCGCTTACTAGCTTTGGGCCTTAGGCATGTCACTTCAGCTTGTCCCACCTCGGTCTTATCATCAATATCCCAGAAATTTTGCATCATACAAGACAATTACTGGGTTAATACCCAATATTTTGGGGTTAAATGAAATATTGGTATGTATATATGGTCTGGCTCAGTATCTGGCAAATAGTAAGAGCCCCATTAATGGTACTCCCATTTTGAAGGTTCTCACAAGATTTGCCGTTCCCTTTTTTTTTTTTTTTTTAGAGGTTTTTGCTATAGGGCGCATGCACTTGCCAGACAGACAGAGAGAGATAGAGAGACAGAAAGCGAGAAATCACCCCCCAGGGGGGATGGCCACACCACAATCCCTTCTCCTCCATTCTCCTCTCAGGATCTTGGGCACGCACACACATGTGCCTGGCTTGAGTTTTAAGCCACCGGGTCCGGGACTTGAACCACGCTCAACTACATGGGAGTCCAGCAACATAGCCATTATGCTAACTGCTGGTCCCTGCAGTTCCTTTTATTAACAGATTCCGGGACTGGCAGGTGGCATGGTAGTATGGTAGTGGGGGCACTGGACTCCCATGTACCCAATCACTATGTGAGTCCTGGACCTGGTGATTTGCTTCCCCACTTTCTCTCTCTCTCTCTTTCACTGGTCAAATAAAAATAATAATAATAAATAAAAGATTTGTGGCATGGCCATCCCCACTTCCCAGGAGTGGGAGGGTCAGTGACTTCTCACTTTCTATCTCTCCTTCGAACACACATGCCCCATAACAAAAACCTCTCCAAAAAAAACCCAATTATTCAATTTTATTTTTGATATTATTGTTGTTTTTAATTTGATTTAGGGCGCGTGCGCTCATCAGAAAGAAAGAGAAAGAATGTGAGAAAGGAGAAAGCAGCCTCCAGGTCCAGGACTTGAACTGTGGTCATCCATGTGGAAGTCCAGAGCCTTAACCACCATAGCACCGGCTGCCCCCAGCTGTGAGATTTTGAACAAGTTATTTAACCTCTGCTTCAGTTTCCTCCCTTTATAAAATGTTGATATTAATAGGACCTAATTCATAGAAGTCAGAAGAGCGAATCCACACGAAGCACTTAGAGCTTAGCCTACATTAGCCCAGCGTCATCCGTTAAGACTTTGGGATGCTCCTGTGCCTTTCAGCACTGGTAGGACAGCAGGGAGCAAGTGGGTAAATGAACCATGGAGTGAGTCTGTCTCTGGGCTCACTCAGGATGCCCTCAGGATGCCCTCAGGGTCTCAGAGAAGTGGCCTAGCACGTGTGCCTGCTTCTCCCTGGTTTGCTACTTTCCATGACCTTAGTTCTTAAACTTGTTTCCCTTTCTTTGTCACTAAAAGTATAAAAAACAAAATCAGTACTGAAACTAAACCAGATTTTGCTCAGCTTTTTTCTTGGAGAATTGGTATTGTGAAGTCCTTTAACAAGTTAGTAATAAGAGGTGAGTAGAATTTCTTCACAGATTGCCACAGGTGTCAGCTCTGTCTAGTGTCTGCACGTGAGCCAAGTTGGTCAGCTAGCCCAGACGGTCAGGCGCATGGGCTGGGCGGGTATAGAGGACAGGTGGGCCTGCGTCTGCCCTGCCCCACCAGTAGGTCCTTGGTGGGAGAGATGGTGGTGGGGAGCGTGTGTGTGTGTGTGTTCCTCTTCTCCTCTCAGGCTTCTCAGCATACCTTAATTCAGGACGAATTAGATGGAAATAATGGAGGAAAGTCAGGGGTAGCTTTAGGATGTTTTTTCAGTTGACTATTCTGCTCACTACAGGGTTGGTTTTTGTGTGAGCAGGGTTGCTACTTTCCATGTTTTTACTAACCACAGGAAAACTCTGGTTGGGGAAATCCCTTCTTCCCAAGCATCTGATCTGTTAGAAATTTTTTCTTCAGAAAAAAATTGCACCCAGTTTTTTCTGGCAGGAGTGAGAGAAGTCTAAATGGTTGGGTTTGTTTTTATTTTTGTTAAATTCCTCATGGAATGTAATTAAAGCATAGATTTGCACCTCAGGGTAGCAGTGTTGCTGCAAGTGTGGGGAATTCATCTCAGTGGAATTGAGGTACGAATTAGAGCAAGCTGTTCCCGTAACGGCTCAGAGTCTGAATTCTGCCACCCGTGAGGCTTGCACGGTGGAGGACATCGTAGAAGTTGACGTGCCATTGTTCATTGGCCTTTTACCAATACGGTCTTTTCTTTTTGCCTCACACAGGTTGTCTGGCGAGCGCACGCGCCCTATAGCAAAAAACCCTCTCCAAAAAAAGAAGAAGAAGAAAAAAAAGAATGCCCAGTTTCTCTTAACAAGGTTGAATGATCCTAAAATGTCTGAAACGGAGCGCCAGTCCATGGAAAGCGAGCGCGCAGACCGCAGCCTGTTTGTCCAAGAGCTCCTTCTGTCCACCCTAGTGCGCGAAGAGAGCTCGTCCTCAGACGAGGATGAACGGGGGGAGATGGCAGATTTTGGTGCTATGGGCTGTGTAGATATTATGCCTTTAGATGTTGCTTTAGAAAACCTAAATTTAAAAGAGAGTAATAAAGGAAACGAGCCTCCACCACCTCCTCTTTGATGACATCCCAATTCGCAGACAATGTCCTCTGTGCTGTATTTGCCAATGAAAGTGGACAACAACTATCTTGGGTTTGTTTGGTGATTGTAATTTCAGGTCTGTCACTCTTGTTACATTGTGTACATTCAAAAGGAAGAGAGAAAATATATATGATAATCATTTCCACTTAACTAATTTTTACTCTAGCAGGTAAATGTAGGTAGCAGTGCAGGGGTGGTCTCTGCTTCCTGTACCTTGACATGCAAAGGCTCTCCTAATACTCCACGTTCAAACTGAAGAGGAAAATTGAAATCTCTAATGAAGCTGCTGTGTGTATTTATGAATATTAATGAATAAAAACTGCTTGGATGGTTTACCTTAACTACTGCATGAGGTTTTTTGCAGCGTGCATGAGTTTTAGTGACCTTGTTATTTAAAAAATTAAATACAAGGAGTAAAACTTAAAAAAAAAATGCCCAAAGCTTTCCCAAACATTATTCAGTGGTTACTCGACCAAGTAGCTTTTGAATAATGTCTGCCTGAATCACCTTCCTTTGTGTGCCTCCTACGCACAAAGCCAGCCTGCAGTGGAGTCCGGGGGTCCTGGCCGGGTGTGACACTTCACCCTGTGTGACTGTCCTGTCGCCTTGTTAGTGGTCGCCTGGCCCGCGTGGAGCCCAGCTGTGTCTAACTCATCTGTAGAAGACGCACCAGTACAGCTACTGTTGGAATCTGCTGCAGGGGCGTTTGTGTGCCCTAAAAACAAATCCTGTTCATGTCTGTTTAAAGTTTTTACTTTTTGTGGTTGTTGAAAATTTTTTTTCAATTGTTAAATATGTTTTATTCAGGTGTAGATGAATTCATTTATTCACTGTTCAACAAAGTTAACCTGAATTATGTTGTCTCTGTTTTGAAAATCTCACATTCTCAATCATATTTTGCGTTATTTATGTATTTGCATTATAGTTTGCTGAGACAGATCAGTATCAGGGGAGCTTTGAGGATTTGCCTTCCCAGTTTTTGTCAATATATTGCAACCAAATTCTTAATGCTAACTTTAGCACCTTTTATTTATTGGGGGTTTTTTTTGTTTGTTTTTTGTTTTTTGGGGGGCATAAAAAGTAAAGCCTTTTAATTGAATCATGCCACCTATATGCCTATATTAATCCTATGTGTAAAAAAAAATGTACAGCATTTCGGGTTTGTTTTGGGGTTGCAGGGGCCGGGTTCTTTTTTTATTTTCTGTTTCAGTTTTTGTGCATAGACTTTCACGATAGCTCCAAGGCAGGGACAGTGGGTTTGGGGGTTGGGGGGCAGTTTTTGGAATGTAAATTTAGGACTTTTAAAACAGGTGCGCACAGCTTCTGATAAATTTATAACTAGACTTAACCTAATCATGTCTTGTTCCAGTTCTTTTCCTGAGCCCTGCTCTCAGTCTCCTCTCTTCCTCCCGTCACCCTTTCCTTTCCTGTGTGTGCTTCTCCGTCTCTTCAACACGACGCGCATACAGACCTGAACACCCTTCGGTGTTCTCCCGAGAACTGTGAAGTCCATGTTCATCCAAGTGTAACCAAAAAAGAAGCCACCCTCCATGTCTAAAAACTATTGCTTCTCCTTTGAAATTTCAGACTCCAGTGATTTCCAGATACACTAGCTTTGTCTTCTTTAGTTTCTGTAACGGGAAATGTTTTCAAGGAAAATTTCACATCAGGCTTCTGGTTATCGCTAGAAGTCACGTCCAGTAGGGATTTTCTTTTTTTCATTTGGTTGTTGAGAAGTTTCAAAAATCAGTTTTCAAGCTGTGGTCTTTTCAAACACATCTTCTGCACATAAGTCACACATTTCAATAAAGCGTTTTCAAGACTGTTGACCACTTGGATTTCTTTGGTGTTGGTGAATTAGCCTAACCATTTCTCGGAGATTTTATATCTCTAGTATTTTTCTTCTTTTTATGCTAAACATAAAGTTCCTGACACAGTGTGAATGCATTACTTTGGATGTGAGAAACAGAAATTGCCAATTACATGTTTTCCCTTTTCTGCACAAATTCTGGGAAAATGTAAGATCATTTTTTTAACATGGTTCTAGGGAACAACTGTAAGTCCATTCAGGGCCACTTAATTTTGGTGATCAATTTAACACTTGAGAAGACCTAAAGAATTATAAAATTCCATCTCATGTAGAATACTGTATATTAATTATTTTTTACCAGATATTTTACAGATACCTCACTTCATCCTGTATGTATTCAATAATAATGTATTATTTTAGGGTAGAAAGACACAGAATATCAATATAAAAATATATTTAAGCCCTTCAAATTCTTGTGTCTTTTTTCTTTAATTTCTGAATCAGCATTATCAACTGTGTTTCTAAATAAAAACAAATGACAAAGTCTTTGATGTAGAGGAGAAAAAATTGGAATGTATCATTATTTATTTTGGCTATACCCTCCAATTTCCAAGGAACAGATCCTGAGTTTTGAAAGGTTTTCGTTTGGTTGAATTTTGAGTGTCCAGGATATGAGTTTATGCTGACTCTACAGTGAATGTCTTCGTGTTTGGAAATAATTTACATCTTAATGTTCAGGGCAAAGTTCTAAAAGGAGTTTAATGTCTTGATTCATAGAGGACAAAAAAAAATGAAGGATAAGACCTACAGAAAAGGTTTAAAACTTCATTTGTTTCTATTTTTGTTTAACTTAGGGAATGGAACATGCAGTGTGTTTGAGTCCCCGGGTAATCCCTGCTCCGCCGTCGTTCTGGAGAATATCCGTGGGCATCCCTGTCCTGGGGACTTAACCACAGAGAACGGTGCATTTTAACCGAAGTCATTGAACTTGCCTCCTGACTTCTTTGGACTTTTTCTCATTTATTTACTTCCCCGGAATCTGCCATCTCTTTGAACAAATAAAAATAGCTATGCTTTCTTTTATGGCTGCAGTCGTAAGACAGGGTTTTCATGGCTGGCCACAGTGAAATCTTGATTTGTACTTAGATTGCACTGGTGTGAAAATCCACAGAATGAGAACCTCGGTTTGCTGCTGACAGTGGGCTCTTAATTTCATTTATAAACCAATGTAGGTAAAGTAAAATTCTCTCTGTGGCCTATAAAGAAATGAAGTTTCAGGTAGCAGATTACATTCTTAGAAATAACACAAAGTCCACCCCATTATTTCTCACCCTGCTCATTTATTTTTTCCCTCTCGGTATTTGAAATTTCGGTAACATATTAACAGATTATCAGAGATCACCAAGCCTGTTGTATATTTTCTGGCCTGTGGGCCACACTTCAAAAATGGGTAAGGAGCGCCAAGTATTCCCTCAGTGGGCCCCAGCTATAGTTCCTGGACAGGTGCAGTCCTCTTCCTTCCTCGGTTTTAGCCCTGGCTCTTGGACTAGTCACAAAGTTCAGTATTTTGTAACTCTGTTTAAGGGCAAATAAGGAAGTGAGGTGGGGGTTGAGCAGAGCTCTGAAGGCTGTGGAGAGCCTAGGGTAGGCGGTAGCTGGGAGATGTCCTTTGGGAGTTCTGTGTGGAATGTGAATACAGTAGAACCCCTCTAGTTGGAGCTAATGCAGTTATTTGCTGTGACATGGGCATGTGTGAAAGCCCTCCGCGTGGAGGAGAGGGTTCTGAAAGTTCAACAAATACATACAGCCCCGGTTGTGTGTGCAGTGGAAGGTAAAGCGGTAGATGGAGGTTTTTCCTGGATTCCCTGTGCGAGTCGCTAGGAGGAGGTGGTGACTGCAGCCTGCGTGTGGTTTGAAGCAGGGAGAGGTTAGGGTTGACGTGCAAGTTGAAACAGCACTTTGCAGACATTCAGTTTATTTGTGACTTCTGAAATTGCGTGGCGTTCAACAGCCATTTCTCAGTAAGGCATTACAGTATCCCAAAGCCAAGCGACTTGTTTGAATCTCACGGTAGTGTGAAAATCTAATTCCATGTGTCCGTCAGCTCCAACCGTGCGTAAGCATTTGCTTCTGATTAGTATTAACTTTGCTTCCTCTGGCTTTTCAGCCCATCTCTGTCAAACTACTCCATAAATCCGTGAGCTTGGAAATCCCTTACTGGAGGAACCCTGCAGGCAAACCACACACAGATGTGACATTTGTTGCCACTTCTACAACTTGAAAAGTGATGCATCTCCCAGAAGTTGATCCTGCGCCTCAAGGACACATCACCTTTTTTTTTCCCCAAAGAATTATTTAAATTTATTTATTTATGTATTTAAATTTGACCAGAGAGGGTCAGAGTGAGAGAGAGGAAAGTGAGAAAGCAAGCCACCAGGTCCAGGACTCCCAACAGCGGTCGGCTATGTGAGTTCGGCACCCTTAACGACCACACCACCTGCCAACCCCAGAGAAAGCTTTTTTTTTTTTTTTTTTAAGAGATTTTTGCTACAGGGTGTGTGTGCTCACCAGAGAGAAACAGAAAGCAAGATTACCCTCTGGGAGGATGGCCACATTGCAATACCTTCTCCAATCTCCTCTTGGGATTTTGGGTACACATGCACACATGCCCGGCATGACTCTCAAGGCAGTGGATCCAGGACTTGAACCACAGTCGACTACATGGTAGTCCAACAATGTAACCATTGTGCCACCCGCTGGTCCTACAACACCTTTTTTTTTGGAGGGGTTTTTGCGCTTGCCAGAAAGAGCAAGAAATCCCCCCCTGGGGGGATGGCCATGCCACAATCCTTTCTCCATTCTCTCAGGATCTTGGGCACGCATGCACATGTGCCCAACATGAGTTTAAGCCACAAGATTCAGGACTCGAACCGCGGTCAACTACATGAGAGTCCAGTGACATAGCCACTTACGTCAGCTGCAGGTCCCCCTACAGCACTTTTCAAGATTATTATTTCTAGGGCACCTGCTGGCCTCTCCACATCATGTGTTAATCACTTGCTGTCGGGTGAGTAGTGCCTTGGTTATGTACCTCACATTACAAAGCTGGATGCTCCACCTTCAAGGCCTCAGAGTTTATAAAGTTGGTTGACCTTTACAGCAGCTTAGTAAGAGATCATTCAGTTAAAGACTCGGGTCTGATTTCGAGTCCCTGCTAGCTTTTCTGCAGTACGGATGGTGCACAGCCATTGGTGTGTGTCGCACACGCCTGATGTGTTAACACTTGTGGGGCGCACGTGTGAAGTCTGGGGCTGTTTTCCACAGGCCTAGATGGGTTTTCTCTTTTAAGAGGGCTTTACTAGGCTGGCAGGCGGCATTGTGGTTAAAGGTGCTGGGCTCTCTATATGACTGACCACAGTTTGAGTCCCAGACCTGGAGGCTTGCTTTCTCTTTCTGATCAAACTGGAAGATATTTATAAAGTTAAATAAGATAATTCTTTTTTAAACAAAGAAAAGAGGGCTTTACTAATCCTGCACTAGCAACCAGGAACTTGGCAGGCTGCATCTTCAGCAGGCATTGGATGTGGCCTGCAGGTTAGGTGAGAGCATTTGGAATGCTGCCTCCCACAGAAGAGAGGCGTGTGCGTGTGATGTGTGAAGCCAGCCTAGAAGCAGTACGACCTCTTCGTGAGCCGGATGAGGGCCCAGCTCTCCTCATCGTGGTCAGACTGCCCCTAAGAAGGCTTACGTGAGGTAGATACAACCACAGTCCCTAGGTAAGGCCCGTAGTACTCAATGGGCAGGTGGTCTGGGCCACCAGCTCAGGACTGGGACAGTTCATGGTTTTTTTTTTTTTTTTTTTTTTTTTTTTTTTTCCCTTTAATTTTTTTTTTTTAAGTTTTTTTTTGC